GTACATATGTTGTTTCTATTATGAAATCTTAACGGAATTCTTGTAGAAAGTGTCTATATAAATCCGTTGAGACTTCCTTTTACAAAAATAAGAAAAGAAGATCGCTCGCAACTAAAACTATGTTACGCAAATATATTTACTAAGAATTTATACAATGGGGATGAATTTAAGTATATGAAAGCTGATTATATATATATCTTAAAATAATAAGGCAAATTCGTAGCGCTATATAGATGAATATAAAGAAGCGCTTAAGTATGAGTGGTTAAATGCAATTATATGCATTTATAATTGCATTTATATATAAACTATTATATTATTATTATATTAAGAGAAGGGTTTATTTACCCTGAACAAGAGAATAAAATATTAGAGTTGTCTTATGATCGCGTATATAATGATCGTGAAAATTAAGGTATTTGTTTTATTACAAAGTTGGATATCATTATAGATAAGGGTTTCTTTGCTTTTCCCCTTGAGTAAAAATTATTTTAAAGCGTAAAACCAAAGTATTGTAATAAATCATATTATAGGACAGTAAAAGCACGAAATAGGGTGGGTGGCGCCATCTAGCGTGTTAGGCAAAAACGTTCGGCGACGTTAGTACTGGCGGCGGACGTTACACATTGTTGCCGGGCGAGACCTCGCGTTATATAGTATCCCCACTCTCGGCTCGGTTCGCGAGACAAACAAGCTCGCTCTCCCTTCCTCGCGATCGGATCCTCTCTTTCTATCTTTGATAACGAACTTTGTGGCGTGATCTGACGCAATACTACTACTACGCATTTATAACGGCTCTTATGGCACTTTTGCGCAATTATACATTTTTATGGCTATCTTTGCCCTCTGATTATCGCAATTAACTGAATAAACTAAACAATGCCTTTTCGTGGCTAATTATTATCGAAATCTTACCTTTAAGCGTCAGACACGAATCTCATGGCTATTTTTTATCTCTTGTGCGAGAAACTTATGAAACGTGATATTTTCACTACCTTGTGTCTAAATTGACTCTCTAATTAATTGTTAACAATGAGATTCGCTTTTCCACGAAGCTCGTGGCTGAATTTACTTGAAATCAACTAAATAAACAATATTAACAAAGCTCATGGTTCGAATGATAGAAAACTAAAAAATGTGCGACTTTTATCGCTAAAATGAAGTATCTCATGGCTCTAATGACTGATATTATAATAATAATCAAATAACTCAAAGCTTGTGGCTCAAATAAAGAGAAATCCACTGAATTCAACAAACTTTACGTCTCTTATGGCTCAATCGCCTGAATAATGACTTTAACGTCTATTTTATGTAAATTTAATATCTTTATCGGAGGATCGACGCGGGAAAAGGAATTTACATTTTTCCGTTTATAATATAAAAGTCTTTTTATTCATAATACGCTCTTTCGCTCATTCACACTTATAGTCATTACTCAATCTCTTTTTGCCAATTCGACAAGAAACATTACAACACACATGAAAATAAAATATATTATGGCTCTCTCTTTTAAACATAATATCAATAAATTCGTTATAATCAACGTCACCAGTACATTCAACGCGCTTTCATAACACATATTCAAGAAATTGACATAAACACAAGATAAACTTACTCTGCCCTAACGGGATTTCACATATAAAATAAAATAACATAAATACATAATCCATTTTCGCGCGTGAACATTAATAAACTCGGTATCCGAGAACACAAAATATAATGTATCTCATATAAACTAATAAAACGAGTATATACATAGAGCGTGACTATGCGTCACTACGCTCAGGTGCGCGCTCTGCCGATAAAGTGGCTTCTTGAATGTTCCCTGTCAGGGATGTGCCTTCGTCAACAGCTGGTAGTTGCGCGGTTGGCGAGTCACGTGCGATGAGCCCTGAAGCCATCGCCTTCGCGACCTCTCTTTCGAACACGGTCGGAGAAAACCTGTCGTCAATAGTTGCTAGGTAATATTGCGCAGCGGCTGCTGTGCCCGGCGTGGGCGGACGCTCAATGGCCGGTCTCTTCTTTGGCGCCGGGACATCGACGGTCGTCGCTGAGATTGATGACGCTTGAACGGCAGCAACGGCCGATGATACAACCGGAACCTGGAACATTGTGAACGGTTGTAAGGTTAGGTTGTGACTTTACTTCAAAATTATAAATGTTTCTACTATTGACCGGAATTATTATTATCGGACTGCTTTAAGCTGGCTCGAACTTCGTCATCGAAGCGCCTCAGCCTAGACACGAATACACGAATACTCGCGTCCACAGGTTCTTGACTGCTGCTCTCTCTCTCTCTCTCTAACGATAACTTTATTTTCAGCAACACCGATTACTTTAACTTTAATAATTATATTTTACCTTTGTTTCAGACATCAGCCGGCTCAAACCTCGATTGCGAAGCGCCACAGCCTCCGTCCGGGATATCTTACGGTCGCCACCTCGTTTAACCGACAACGTGCATTTACAACATGCGTGATATAGGCGAGAATCTATTTAATTCGCGTTCACTCACGACTATTACGTAACGCAGTATCTTTCTTCGCGCACGGGACTTCTCCTTCCTTCGGAGCTCGCAACGGCGTCTCCGATTCTTTAGCGGACGAGGAAAGACTCTAAACAATTTAATTCGCGTCTACTCGCGACTGTTACGTAACGCGGTATTACTTCTTCGCGTACGGGACTATCCTTTCCTTCGGAGCTCGCAACGGCGTCTCCGATTTCGTAACGGCGAGGAAAAACGTTGCTGTTGCCGGGCGAACGGCTTTTATACCTCCCCACTTCGTCAACGCCTTCCCACTCTCGTGCGTTCCCCTTCCTTCCACAATTCCGGAAAGAAAGGTGCGCATTTGCTTCCAAATTCGTTCCCTCCATAGTGGATTCCTTCTAGAAACTTCTAGAACCTTCTAGAAGGAATTGTGGCTTTTCCACTTAATAATCGAATCCATATCTCATTGTGGGTCTTTTATACTCTGATTGTCGTAACTCTAAATGAAATTCTTTTTCTTTTCAGGTATTACTTGGAAATGTGGATCAATCTCTGGTAAGTATCAAAACTAAATGAATTGTGGTGAAATCATAATAATAATAACCTTTTTCTGGTTTTAGGATCCCTCCAAGCTAACGTGGTAAATAGGTAAGTGACTAAAATTTCTATTTTTCTTTAATAACGATTTTCTTTATGTTTCAGGGAACGAGTCTGGATTTGTGGATTATTACAATTTACACCGTGTGAGTATAAACTGGTTATTTATTTATCGTTCATGCATCCCACATTCATACGTTATAAAATATAAAGTTTTATAAACAAGACATACAATAAAGTGTATCACGTACCCAAACGGGTCTTTACATCAGTTATAAAATAAAATAAAATATCACTTTAATTTCTTACGTGTTTCATCGCACTATCACGTTTGTGGCTTTAATTCTATCCACAAATTAACTTTAATTAATAATGATAACCATAACTGTGAATCGATCAAATATGCAATCTTTATATAAACGATGCAGTCTATGCTTCTCGCATTCCAAACTAAGCTTATTCATAATGATTTCGCACGTAAAATAAAATAAAATAATTACTGACTAGCGTCTTGACTAATATCGGAACTTAATGAAAATGACTTAAAATAATATAAACGATAATTTCGTTTTTAGTTTTCCACAATTGACCCAGCTTGATCGCTTAGTCGCTGGCCTTCTTGCGTATCAGTGTTTTCTTCCATCTTTCGGGCCTCCTCAGAGATAAAGGCACTGAGCAGATTCACAGCGCACTGCGCTTTACCAAAAATGTCCACCTCAGCGCTTCTCTCCGGTGTTATATTTTCCATTGTGGGTTCGGTCATAATCGTTGATGTTGAGATTATGGCCTTCAGTAGCGACCAATAGAGCCGGTGCTTGGAAAGCTTCCGGTTCCAAGGTTTTGTTAGTCAAGGTTTAGTTGTAACCGGACTTTATCGTATGCTTTTAAAATGACCGTATTCTATCTATTTCATTTCCCGAATTTACAATTTAATCAGTATCGGACCTCTTCCTCGAAGAGCCTTATCGTCAGCGTGTATTATACTACGCCCGCAAAGTCCTTGGTTCCGCCAATAACAGTTAATGAAACTCTTTCAAATTTTAGCAACACCGAATTATTATCGTGATGTCTTATTCAGTTACCTTTCCTTTCAGGTACTCACTCGGTCGCCACTTCGTTTATCCTCCAACGAAGAAGGTCTTGGGGACAGCAACTACCAACGATGTCCTCTCTATGGCTCGGCTTTTGTTCGTGTAGACGCCTCTGGATTTCTCGCCCCGGAATTATTTGTGATACGACCACATGCAGGTACGTAGCGGGAGATGGTGTGGGTGTGCTTATTAATGTCTCGTTCTTTGAATTTTAAATGTTTATTATAATATCTTAAAGTTCACATGCGCACACTACACACACTCACTCATTCTCGCTCGCACACAATCAAATTACGCGTAACGCGATAACGCGGTCGCGTCTCCGTCGCGTACGGTGTCACAAAAGGTCGTCAGTCAATTCGTGCAACTGTTTTATGACGCAACGAATCGGTTGGGAACCCGTTTTCCGAAAGCGCGGAACGTCGTCGGCCGATCCGCGTCGCGTACTTACGAATTCGTCGAAAATAAAGTCGTACCAATAGAGAATATACGCTATGCAACTTGTGCATTTACAGGATGCGTGATTCGGGCGAAAACAATTTAATTCGCGTTCACTCGTAACTGATATACGTAACGCGGTATATTTCTTCGCGTACGGGACTATCCTTTCTTTCGGGACTCGCAACGGCGTTCCCGATTAAGTAACGGCGAGGAAAGACGTTGCTGTTGCCGGGCGAACGGCTTATATACCTCCCCACTTCGCCAACGCCTTTCCACTCTCGCGCGTTCTCCTTCCTTCCACAATTCCGGAAAGAAAGGTGCGCATTAGCTTCCAAATTCGTTCCCTCCATAGTTTGTGGATTCCTTCTAGAAGCTTCTAGAACCTTCCAGAAGGAATTGTGGCTTATCCACTTTGTAATTGAATCTATATCTCATTGTGGGTCTTTTATACCCTGATTGTCATAACTCTAAATGAAATTCTTTTCCTTTTCAGGTATTACTTGGAAATGTGGATCAATCTCTGGTAAGTATCAAAATTAACTGTTTTGTGGTAAAATCATAATAATAATAATAATCCTTTTCTCGTTTTAGGATCCCTCCAAGCTAACGTGGTAAATAGGTAAGTGACTAAACTAAAACTTCTATTTTTCCTCAATAATGATTTTCTTTATGTTTTAGGGAACGAATCTGGATTTGTGGGTTATTACAATTCTTCTCACGTAAGTATTAATGATATTTATTCGGCATTCATGCATACTTCATTCATTCCTTCAAAATTGAATATAACAGTTTATAAAATATAATATCACGTGCCCAAACGGGTCTTTACATTAGGTTATAAAATAAACTACGATATTGCATTAATTAATCCCACGCATCTTTTGATTGCACATAATTCGTGCCGGATATGTGGTTCTCGTTTTATCCACAAATTTGCATAAAATAATAATAATAATTATAACAGTGGGTTACGCTAGAATTTAACATAATGTATTAAAATAAATGACATATCTATGGTTTCCGCAAATAACGCACAATATAATTTCGCGCATAAAATAAAATAATTAACGACTAGCGACCCGACTAGTATCAAAATACTTCGAAAATAAAATCTTAAAATAAGATGTGACGATAATCTCGTTATTAATTGTCCACAATTGGACTGGCCCGATCACTCGGTTGCTGGCCTTCTTGCGTAACGGTGTTTTCTTCCTCCTTCCGGGCCTCCTCCGAGATAAAGCACTGAGCATGTCCACAGCGCACTGCGCTTTTCCGTAGATCTCCTCCTCAGTACTTCTCTCCGGTATTTGATCTTCCCTTGTGGGTTCGGCCGTTATCTCGACCTCCGTAGCGACCGATGGAGCCGGTTCCAGCGGAGCTTCCGGTTCCATGGTTAGTCAAGGTTTGGTTAGTCAAGGTTAGGGTTATAGGATTCTGCGGGGTTTCAAATCGCCGATCGCATTTTTTTTGGATAGAGGACGACTTTCTCTTTCATCCCCATATAGGTCTTATAGAGAATAAATAAAGAATTTGGCCGTTCTAATTCATTTTGTGTGTTCCAAGATGAAAAAGTTGCTCTCCCGGCAAAACCGTTAGAGATAGAGGCTCGGTGCATAGGACCTCATGTGTTTCTCTCGTCGAGTACTATAAGGAAGGGTAGGTCCCGAATTTGAAACATTTTTTTGGGGAATTTTAATTTTTTGTTTTTTGAATTTTGGCTAGGTCGCAATTTTTTCTTATAAAACTTGTCGAGAGGAACAAAAAAGTCTGTCTTTGTTTCACTAATAATAGTAATTTTGAGATTCGGACAACAAAAAACGAATTAGATCAGCTAAACGGTTGGAGATAGGAGCATGGTGAAGAGGACCTTTCTTGTTCCTCTCGTCGAGCTGCATAAGAGAAGATAGGTCCGGGAATTTATAGAAATTTTTTTTTTTTAAGTTCCGACCCCTTTGAAAAGTAGGAAAAAATGAGGGTGTTGAAAAAATCCGAACTATCGGTATAATATAAAAATTGTGGTTTTTTGTAAAAATAAATTGTGAATCAGATAAAAATTTTATTTTGCTAAAATTGTTGTCTTTTTCCAGACAATTGAGTTGTAAATCAAAAATAGCCGAAATTAAAAGTAAATTTTGAACTTGAGAAATTGAAAGATATATTTAAATTTTAGAGCCAAGATGGTGCCGTTATCGATGCTGTATATAAAATTGACGCGTATCCTGGGTTAAGAAGGTTCGGGGGTCCAGGGGGCCAAGCCCCCTGGTCGGGGTCCAGGGGGCAAAGCCCCATGGTGAGGGTCCAGGGGGCGAAGCCCCCTGATCGGGGTCCAGGGGGCGAAGCCCCCTGATCGGGGTCCAGGGGGCGAAGCCCCATGGTCAGGGGAAGTTCTCGGGGGAGGCGAAGCCCCTCCCTGAGAATAAAAAAAAATTAGAATTCATTAAAAACGACCATGACAACAATCACGGCCGCAGACAGACATGTGACCGGATTTTAATGAAGGTAAACATGAATGAACATGTGTAAACCCAAAGGTAAGTGAAAAAAAATTATATGTTGCAGTGGATAACAATCTGTCTCTTTTCAGGTACCTGTTTTCCTTGATCAATTGTGGATCACCAACGCGAAGACGCTATCCTCGCAACTAAATATGGTAAGCAGAAAATATTGCGGTTGTTTGTGTATTATTATCTCATTACTTTGCATCAGGTTGTCAACCAAAACTGAATCGGCTGAAACGTAAGTAAGTAAAGTAAATAAAAATGGTGGCAAAACTCATAAAGTTGGAAATGTAGTCATCAGAATTGATACAAGTCGACAACCGTCCGGTTCAATAAGGAAAGTATAAAACAAAATAATGTATTCTCAGTTACTTCACTAATATTACTTTATCTAATGTTTCAGATGTTACAGTCATCCATGACGGATGTCGATCGCTCAACAGGAGAGTCTATCATCCAACAATGGTGAGTACGACAATACGCTGTAACAATTTTACTAATGTTTTCTTCTGTTTCAGGTATCCCAGGCAATTCCAGGACGGACGTCGATTGCCACTCAAAAGGAGAGTCTATCATCCAACAATGGTAAGAAAAAAAATTGAAATAATTTTAACAGTTTTA